ATGAGGTCTTTTCCTTGTGTATAGCAAATTCTAACATTTATATGTAAATTGAGAATTTTTGTAGGTTTAAGTATTGATACATGTGCAATCATGTCTATGATGATATGATAGATGCTTCTTGGAACCATGTTCTCGTTAAATGCTCGTCATTTGTGCCTGATTCGAGAAGAGGGAATGGGAATTTCATTTGGGATGCTAGGTCATGGTGTATGTGTAGGATTTGTCTGGATATGCAGTCTTCTACCATCGAGGAGGCAATCCCGACTATGGCAATATTAGGAGCCAAGTGAAAATCGTCGATCAGGTATTTTTATAATCAAATATGTATTTTAATTATTTTAAAGACTATTTGACCCAACACATTAAAAATATGAACTATATCTCTACATTTCTACTATATAAAGGGATTATTTTGTCTCTTTAAACACAATTTCAAAAACTTCAGCAAAATTTAAACAATTTTAGGAAGCCAATTCCGCCTCTCATTTCTACACAATACACCAAACAATTGATTTAACCATTAAACATCTTCATATACCACTTAATTCCAATGCTTATGCTCTATATTTACATGATTTAGAAGGTCATTGTCACCAATTTTTCCAACCCTTTAAAAAAATCAAATACAAAATTCAGTCAATTTAGATATCCAAAAATTTGTACATCATCAATCACTATCTTCAACACTATCATTTCCTCCATCTTATAATCATCACTCCATAAATATAAATAACAATAATTCGTTTTATTAAAAAAAATCCTTCAACACATCCAAACAATATAAAATAACTCATTTTTTTTTAAATATTAACTAAATAAACTAAAATAAAACGATATGTTATTGTTTCAAATATTGTTCATACACTAACATTTTACTATTTATTGTTTTTTTACACTTTATCCCTCATCTTTGTCAACGAATCTTTCGGTCCACATCTTCATTTGCTCATACATTTTGGTACTCGAATGAGAGAGAACGAAGGAGGGAAGAGAGAGAGAGAGATCGTCGGCTAAGCTTATTTAGGCCACTTTGCTCGGCGAAAATCCACGAGATTTTTTATCTTTTAGATATGAGTTTGTCTATTGTTGTTTCAAACCATGAAACAATTAGAGGAGGTAGATCGGAGCTAAAAAAGAAAACAATATTCCGAATTCATTGTGTAATTTATTTTTGTGTGTATTAAAATGAATTTTAAGGTTTTAGATATGTTTATTTTCTTTATTTCGATCATTTAGAGGTATTTGGAAGGAAAAATGACGCTGGAATTCAATTTCTAAGGGTCCGAAACTTGATCCTCGACTTTTCGACGAAGATTCCGACAACCTCGATTTGTTGGAAGTTGTAGCTTTTTTTTTTTTTTTTGCAACGGCAGCACGGGCTCGACGCGTGGGCTTGGCTCTTTTCTTTTGTTTTTTTTTCCTTCCGTTTCAGCTTAGGAAATTGCTTTTTATTTTAATCCATTCATTCTTTTTTTTTTTTTTTTGTCATTAAACTTTTATGATTTTTGATTTTTATCCATATCGAAATATTAAAATTTTATTATATGTGATTTTTATCCTTATAATCAATTTTTTTTTAGCTTTTAGTAAAAATTTATGTTCTTTTTTTGTTTCTATTTTTTAATATGTTTTTATTTTAGTTATTAAAATTCTCTCATATTTAATTTTTATCCTTACTTGTACTAAAACTAAATAAAGTTTACTATCTTAAGGTTTTTTTGTTTTGTTATTTTTTCTTTCCTTTCGTCTTTAAATTTAGTAGATTTTTTTTTTAGTCTTTGTTTTATAATTGTTTTTTCATTTTGATCATTAAAATTTTTTTTCTACAAGGAACTATTTTTTACTTTTAATAAAAAATTTTGTTATACTTTGGTTTTTTTTATGATCTTTCATTTATTTTGATCATTAAAATTTTATTATATTTAATTATTATTCATTTTACATTAAAATTAAATACATTTTAACTATGCTAAGTTTTTTTTTTTGTGAAAAAATTTCTGTTTTGGTTCTTATTTTATTAATTTTTTTTATTTTAGTCATTAAAATTCTATAATGTTTACTTTTGTTCATGCCTTATGCATAATGAAATTTTTTTAGTCTTATTATTTATAAGTATTTTTGTATGCTTTTAGTGAAAGTTTTTATTTATTTATTTTTATCCTTTTTATAATCTTTACTTTGTTTTAATCATTTAATTTTTATCGTGTGTAATTTTATTTCTATTTTCTTTACAAAATTTTCAATTTGACAGAGCTTTTTGTCTTTTTGTTTTGAATAGTCTCTTTGTCTCATTAACAAACATATGAATAATATATGGTAAAAATTAATCATCGAAAATTTAAAAAACTACCATGTTATTATTTTAATTATCGATTATCAATAAAATATATGTTTATATCAAACAATATCTAATTAGCAATATTATATTACTCAACTTTGCAGACTTTTCATTTAGCTAACCTTGTAATAAATTATAAAATATATATTTTAATTTTTTTGAATTATTTTTATATAATATTATCAAATAATGATTTATATATGTTAAATTTTATATTAATAAATATATAAAAATATTATATAATTTACTCGTGACAATACGCGAAATATATGCTGGTTTTCAACTTAACAAAAAACATCCTTGGCTATTCGATTGAACTTTAATTATAGAAATTATTAAAAAAATTCCAGAGCACTTTTTGGCCTATGTCGTCCTAATATTTTAATTGCAAAAGTGACCCAATGCAACGGTACGTGTGCTTGCCAGTTGCCATTAGTGGTGTGTTGGCATGATCAGGGAATCGTTAATTCGCTTATGAACTATTATTTATTAGACAATTAATTAAAAAGTAATCATATCGGGATCTTTCAACAATAAATTAAAATTATATTCTCTTTCCCATAGAAGAACGATGGGGAAGTCTATTTTATTCATCCCTATGCCCAATTACTGTTAGGCATAAAAGGTGGCAGCCTCTTCTTCGTTGAATTTCTTGCGTACGTACGAAATTTGCTTTATACAATGTAAATAACTTTTTTTATTTAACCATTTCGAATAACATTAATACTGATTAAATTATTTAAATTAGACTAAAAAAGATTTATCATGGATAATCCGGTTAAAACATGATAAAACAAGAACTAAATCTTTATACAAAAAATCTATTTTTATATAAATACGCGCACAATTCATTCACTAATCTATTTGAAAAACTAATAATATTTTCAGAAGAAAGTAGCTCATATTTATATAAAATCTAATATTACATAATTCATAATCATAAATTTTAAATTACTCAAGAGTAAACTAATAATGCTTACTTTATTCATGAATATATTAAAAAAATTACATTTGAATTCATAAAAAATAATAAAAATATTATTTATTTAATTTATTTAATTTTCTCTTCTATGAAATAATTATTATTCGTTACTTTTGAAGTTAGATAAAAATTTTCAATTGGCAGCAATTCCAAAAGTTATTTTATTCCTCGTATTTGGTAGTGAATTCATGTTTTGACAAAATGTATTTCGTTTCCCTTTCCTTTCTTTCTTTCCATGGAAAGTTCAAAATACCAAAAAGTAAAACACTAACGTGGTAGCTAAACATCCAAAGCATATTACCCGAATGATTCCATTCCTAATCATTACTTGATTACCCCATTAATCACCACCTCAAATAAACCCTCCCTTAGTCTTTTATGCCATGAATTGACAACAGTTATTTTTTCATAATTAAAAAAAAATGAAGTCATTAATTTAACTATCACTTTTTTTCCCCCTTTTTTGGGATAGCTCCTTTGTGAGTAATTTTTTTTTCACCGTCAAATGTCAATTTTCGTTAATCAAAGTGAAAATATTTTCCTTAACAAAGAAACAATTCTTTTTTTTTTTTTTTTGAGTGACTAAAAAGAATTGCCACTTTTTGGTTCACTTCCATCCTATTTATTGTAAACGTAAGACAGAAGAAAATTATTTATTTTCTTTGTAGAAATTAAAGCCTTTTCCACTGCATGCATGAACAGCACTGCTACGTGCACGTGTTGCCATCGCATGTACTACAAAGGGATAAAATTGATTTTTTTTTCCCCATCAAAGGGGATAAGTTTTATAGAATAGTCTTTTTTGTTGGTGAAATCTTGTACATTTTACACTAGAAAATAATTATGATGCTAATGTGTTATAAATTAGATAATTGCATTATAAGTTCATTAATTTTTAATGTTTTTTCAATTAAGTATATCAATTTAATTTTTTTTATTTGAATATATCAATCAAGTATTTTAATTCAACTTTTATCAATTACTAAGTGATTAGATACTATTAAATTATGATTTTGTTATTTTATTATTAGAGGGAATTTCTCCTCCTTAATTATTTTATATTTTTTACTTTTTAAATATAAAAATAATTTGGGTATTTAGCATATAAAAAGTAAAAAATGACAAACTAATTTGAAAGAAAAAATTCTCTTCAAGAATAAAAGAAAAAAATCATAATTTAATAATAGAGAACAAAAGGATATATTATCAAATAAAAAATGGTGTCAGTAAAAATTAAACGAAAAAACCTTGATTATCTGTTTTTTAAAAATCGGCATGCTAATTTTTTTTTATATACTCATTCCTTAATTATTTTATATTTTTTACTTTTTAAATATAAAAATAATTTGGGTATTTAGCATATAAAAAGTAAAAAATGACAAACTAATTTGAAAGAAAAAAATTCTCTTCAAGAATAAAATAAAAAATAATAATCTAATAATAGAGAACAAAAGGATATATTATCAAATAAAAAATGATGTCAATAAAAATTAAACGAAAAAACTTGATTATCTGTTTTTTAAAAATTGGCATGCTAATTTTTTTTTATATACTCATAAAAAAATGTTAAAAGTTGGTTATAGTACAATTTTATCTCTTACATAATAATAACTTCAATAATAAATTTCACATAAATTCAATAAATTTATTTTCTATTTTTCCTTCACAGATCAACCCAAAATGGAAAGTCCCCGACCCCAACCATTTCGCTGTCACTCCCGTACTGTCACAGTTATGTCATATGATCGTGCCAGCTCGTACAGTGGGTTTTTTTTTTTTTTAACTTTTATGCGACGACAATTAAAAACTAAAATAAAATTTTCAAAAGAATATCTCAATTTAACGGTGGAAGATTCAAGTTAAGCTTCCATATTTTTTGGGTATTAACCTAACACTAACAATTAATGAATAATTATCCAAGAATTGAAAAATCAAAAAATGGAATTATTGCATTTTTATTTTTTATTTTGAGAATTCTTTTTTTTTTTTAAATAGATATTCTAAAGAGACGACAATTTACTGTCTTGAAAGCACAAAAATCTCGTACAGTCCAAAACGAAGAGAGAAGCCACTCTCCCGTCTCCACCCTCTCGTTCTCTCTAATACACTATCTTACAGTTAGTACTGCACTATTCCTGCAAGTAAAACCACAAGCAAACAGCTTTCCTGGTGGTGGTGGTGGTGGTGGTGGTGGTTGTGTTGTTGGTGGTCTGGTGAATGAAATGGCAGGGAATGATTGGATAAACAGCTATCTTGAAGCAATTCTTGATGTGGGTCCTGGCTTAGATGAAAAGAAATCGTCTCTTTTGCTTAGAGAAAGAGGCAGGTTTAGCCCAACTCGTTATTTTGTCGAAGAAGTTGTTTCTGGATTTGATGAGACCGATCTTCATCGCTCATGGGTTCGGGTATGTTCTTATTAAGTGTATCTATTTGTGTTTTGTTCATGTTTTTTGTTTGCATGAGTGTGATTTTGGTTGTGTCTTTTTTTTTTTTTTTTTTTTTTGTACTGTTTGGTATAGGCTCAGGCGACGAGGAGTCCGCAAGAGAGGAATACGAGGTTGGAGAATATGTGTTGGAGGATTTGGAACTTGGCTCGGCAAAAGAAACAGGTTGATTTTGTTGTTGTTTGGTGTTTTTTTTCATGAATCTTGTGGCCCTTTTGGTTGTTTTCTTGATTTTGATTTTAAGATTTGATATTTGGTGTTTCTTTGTAAAAATGTTGGTGGCAGTAGGTTAGTGGAAGCTTAGATGATTAGTTTGTATTGATTTGAGTTTTGAGTGGAATTCTTTTATGTTTGAAAACTGTGAACCTGATTGTATGGATATTTTTTTTTTTGGGGGGGGGGGGGGGGGTGTGGCTTGGTAACTTTTCTTATATGGGATTAATCTTGAATTGGCTGTTTGATCATAAGCTAGTGTTATTTAATGGGGTTTGGCTTTGTCTATTTTTGATCGCAACAAACACGTGGCACAAGACCATCTTGGAGGAGATGATATGGTAATGTGCATGTTCTTGTTCTAAAACGTTGTCAATTGCGATGGGATTGATATTTCAATTGGTTGTTTGATCATAAGCTAGTGTTATTTAATGGGGTTTGGTGCTGTCTATTTGCGATCGCAACACACATGTAGTACAAGGCCATTTTGGAGAAGATGATCATATTGTAATATGAATGTTCTCATTCTGAAAAAATTGTCCCTTGCGATGCGATTGGCTTTCCAGAAATGATCTGTTGAGATATAGTTGAAATGCATGCACTTGTAGGTAATAAATGCTCTTGTTGATGCTCAATACGTGCTGTCAAAATAGATCAATTTTTTTCCTATTCTGTTTCCTTTTTGGGAGGGTGAGGGGGTAATGTGTCTGAATTGGAAAGTGTTTAACCTGTAACTGTTTAGTCTTGCAATAAATAATGCCACTTTTTCTTTTTTCTTTGGTTTTTCTAAGTCTCAACATACAGAGGAGATACTGGAATCTGGCTCTAGATTTTTTATTTTTATTTTTTTTAACCTGAGTGATTGACTATTGTATTTTGTTTGTTTCTTAGCTTGAGGGAGAGCTAGCCCAGAGAAATGCTAAACGTCGTCTTGAACTTGAAAGAGGCCGCAGAGAAGCAGTGGCAGATATGTCTGAAGACTTGTCAGAGGGAGAGAAAGGAGATACAGTGGGGGATTTATCAGCCCATGGTGATAGCATCAGGAACAGACTGCCTAGAATCAATTCTGTTGATGCAATGGAGGCTTGGGCTAATCAGCAGAAAGGAAAAAAACTATACATTGTATTAATAAGGCATGGACTGAACTTTCGTTCTCTAATACTTGAATGTGCTTGTGAAGACGACTATAAGGCATTTATTTGGTGTACTACTGTGTCTTACAATATAATGAATGAAGTTTCTATAATACTAGAATCAATTCACTAGTTTCACATTTACTTGATAGGATATTATATATGTCCTGGTTATGGCACTAGAATTTACTGCATGATTTTGCTAATGTGCATTTTGCACATTTAATATTTTTAACAAGTAACATGCATGCAGCCTTCATGGTCTAATACGAGGAGAAAATATGGAGCTTGGGCGTGATTCTGATACTGGTGGTCAGGTAATATTTTTGTGGAAGTTTTTGTTGAGAGTGCTCATATGTTTCTTTCACTCCCGTTTTCTGGTCATAGGATAACTGGATAGCTGCAGGAATATATAACTAATGATCTTGACTCCTTTTCTATCAGGTTAAATATGTAGTGGAACTTGCAAGGGCTTTGGGCTCAATGCCAGGAGTGTATCGAGTTGATTTGTTAACTAGACAAGTATCAGCACCAGATGTAGATTGGAGTTATGGCGAACCTACAGAGATGTTGACTCTAATAAACTCAGAAGATTTCTTGGATGAGAGGGGGAGAGCAGTGGTGCTTATATAGTCCGCATACCTTTCGGCCCGAAGGATAAATATATTCCAAAGGAACTTTTGTGGCCTCACATCCCTGAATGTGTAGATGGTGCTCTTAACCATATAATTCGGATGTCCAAAAGCCTAGGAGAGCAAATTGGTGGGGGAAGCCAATCTGGCCTGTTGCCATCCATGGGCATTATGCTGATGCTGGCGACTCTGCTGCTCTTCTATCTGGTGCTTTAAATGTCCCTATGCTTTTTACTGGTCACTCACTTGGCCGGGATAAATTAGAGCAGCTGCTTAAACAAGGCCGACTCTCAAGGGACGAGATCAACTCGACATACAAAATAATGCGTAGGATAGAGGCAGAGGAGTTATCTCTCGATTCGTCGGAGATAGTCATAACTAGCACTAGGCAAGAGATAGAGGAGCAATGGCGCTTGTATGATGGCTTTGATCCTATACTGGAGCGTAAACTGCGAGCAAGAATCAAGCGTAACGTGAGTTGTTATGGGAGGTTCATGCCCCGCATGGCTGTAAGTACCCTTTTTTTCTTGATTGGGGTTTGGTTACCTCATAAAAGCTCCTTGATTCTCAGTAGCAAAAACAGTATCAGAATCTAAGTAAGCTTGCTCTGCCTCAGAGCTTGGCTCGTGAATCTCAGCTAGGTTGGGGTGGGTTTAATTAGATCCTTAATTCAGTTCTATAAACGTGTGGGTATATTAAATTACAACTGAAACAACGATGCTATGTCTTATGGCTGTGTATGTCTGCCTGGGAGTTTGATTTGTTGTCCATTAACTGGAATGCAGCATGGCACCAAGTTTGAGATGGTGTACAGTGCTTAGTTTCAAAATTTTCCCAAGGCTCGTGTGGCTGGGAATCACTGCAGGATAGCTATGTGTCATAGATGAAGATTGCTACCTTGCACCCGATCTATTTTAAAAATTCACGAATCCTGTTCTTGTCATGTTCCAGTTGGCTCCCAAAGCAAATTGCTTTCTAGCGAAGGGAACATATATTAATAACTTGTGGTACTGTGCAGACAATTCCTCCTGGGATGGAGTTTCATCACATTGTTCCTCAGGATGGTGATATGGATGGTGAAATAGAAGGAAATGAAGACCATCCTAGTTCGCCCGATCCACCAATATGGGCAGAGGTTGTAATTTTTGCTAATTGCCAATATGTTTAATTTTACCCCTTTCCCACACTTAATAGGCAAATTGATTTTAGTTCAATACTTGCTATGCTGCAGATCATGCGCTTCTTTACCAATCCTCGCAAGCCTATGATACTTGCCCTTGCAAGACCAGACCCTAAAAAGAACATCACAACTTTGGTTAAAGCATTTGGAGAATGTCGCCCATTGAGAGAGCTTGCTAACCTTGTATGTTAAGTTACCTAAAAAGACTTGTTTTGTGTAAACATGTTCTTAATTGCTGCTCACTTTGATTTGCTTTCTGTTGAGGTCATGCTATCTTTTTATTCCCTTGCACTTCACTTTACAGACTCTAATTATGGGTAATAGAGATGGAATTGACGAAATGTCCAGCACAAATGCATCTGTCCTTCTTTCAGTGCTTAAGCTTATTGACAAGTATGATCTGTATGGGCAAGTCGCATATCCTAAACACCACAAGCAGTCTGAGGTTCGTGATATATATCATCTAGCAGCAAAGACAAAGGTATGCTCTGTAGTTTATCAGGTTAAACTAAAAAATCACTTGATCATCTGAGCTCGAGATAAGAAAAATCGTAAAATAGGTGATGATTCACTCCGTTATCTAGTACAGTGGTGCGTTCAGCTTAATCTGGCCTTTCCTCGTGTTTTCTTTTCTTTTTGATTCCTTCTAGACTGCTCCATGAGTGATCTATATTCGGCATTATACGTCTCATTTAGAATTATTCACTGCTGTTTTACATTATAAATAATTTATTTAGGACTCTCCTAATTACACCTCGTTGTTAGCTAGTTCACTGCAATTGCATAATCGATTAACCATCCAATTATGGTTAACAGATCCTTTTTTATGCCAGTCTAAATTTGTGTAAACTGTATAGTATATCAAGCATCTTCATGAGGGTCCTATGTTCTGCAGTTCTCATTTATTTTTTAAAAGCAGAGTTTTAATTTATAAAGGTACAATTATTCTCTCTTGTTTGACGTTATAGAACAGCTTCTCATTGTTAGCTAGTTTAGTGCATTGAATAATTGATTAACTTTCCAAAAAAATTATGATTAACAGAACTTCCACAATGCTAGTCTAAATCTCTGTAAGCATATCAAGCATCTTAGTTTCATGTGTTTTCTCTGGGAAACACGTGAGGGTTGGGTATCATTATTATGCTTGCTTGGTGTTTGGTTGCTGTATTTTGGTCCATTATCTGATGTAATTGCTGTTATCTATCATACTCCAACTGTATGACGTAGATGGTTTCCTTTATCTCTTAATCTCTGTTTTTGAACACACAACTAGAACTCAGTATTTGCTGTTAGATATCTAATTCTGGTTGCAACTTTGTTTAGGGTGTTTTCATCAATCCAGCTTTCATCGAGCCATTTGGGCTTACTTTAATTGAGGTGCTCTTCTTGATCTGATGAAGAGTTTTTCTTGATGATTATTTATTAATTATTTCAGGCCAATATAAACTGTTTCATTTCCTTTTTCTTTTTGCTGAGCAGGCAGCAGCTCATGGATTGCCTATTGTTGCCACAAAAAATGGAGGTCCAGTAGACATACATCGGGTATGTGTGCTCATCAAAAAAATATCGCCAAGGAGATATTACTCATCAATGTGTGTGAATGAGCATGTTATGCATAAATCTTTCAGTATTGATTGTAGATATTTCCACAGGTACTTGACAATGGTCTTCTTGTTGATCCTCACGATCAGCAGTCCATTGCTGATGCTCTTCTAAAGCTTGTTGCTGACAAGCATCTTTGGGCAAAATGCCGTCAGAATGGGTTGAAGAACATTCACCTATTTTCGTGGCCAGAGCATTGCAAGGCTTACCTGTCTAGGATAGCTAGTTGCAAACCAAGGCATCCACAGTGGCAAAAAAGTGATGATGGAGCTGATACTTCCGATACAGATTCTCCTGGTGATTCCTTGAGAGATATACACGATTTATCTTTGAACTTAAAGTTTTCAATGGATGGGGAAAAGACAGGTGGTAGTGGAAATGATAATTCTCTAGAATCCGAAGGAAATGCTGCTGATAAGAAGAGTAAAATAGAGAATGCTGTATTGGCATGGTCGAAGGGTGTTGTGAAGGACACCCGAAAGGCTGTTGACCAAAACAGCAGTTCTGGTAAGTTTCCATCACTGAGGAGGAGGAAACAAATCTTTGTCATTGCAGTGGACTTTGATACTATCACCAGTCTTGCTGAAGCCATTAGAAAAATTTTTGAGGCTGTTGAAAAGGAAAGGGCTGAAGGTTCTATAGGGTTTATACTGTCAACATCCTTGACCATATCTGAGATACGCTCCTTTCTGGCCTCGGAGGGATTTAGTCCCAGTGATTTTGATGCTTTTATTTGCAATAGTGGCAGTGACCTCTACTATTCAACTCCCAATCCAGAGGATGGTCCCTTTGTCATTGACTTTTATTACCACTCGCACATTGAATATCGTTGGGGTGGAGAAGGGCTGAGGAAGACTCTGGTTCGCTGGGCATCTTCAGTTATTGATAAGAAGGCTGAGGACGAGGAACGAATTGTAACTGCAGCCGAACAACTTTCAACCGACTATTGTTATGCTTTTACATTGAAAAAGCCAGGATCGGTACCTTTCTTCCCACAAGTGACTTCTTGTTATTGTTTTGAAATTAAGGGTGAATTTTTCTTTTTAGACTTGGCCATATAGGTGCCTGGATTATTTTTACATTAAGAGCTGCAGTACAGTGGTATATACATGCATTGAGTTACACCCATGTCTTTTGCAGGTTCCACCTGTTAAGGAGCTTCGAAAGGCGCTGAGAATTCAGGCTCTTCGCTGCAATGTTATTTATTGCCAAAATGGGACCAGGATAAATGTAATTCCAGTATCGGCTTCCCGATCTCAAGCCCTGAGGTAGGGTTTTCATGAATATATGTTTTACCTGATAGTGATTCTTCATTTGAAATTATGAATGAAACTGCATATAGCAAATTGGATAGTAAAGGAATCTCAGGCACGGACAAAGCAATGTAGCCAAAATTTGGAGCTGGCATTGAGAATTTATACGAGCATTTTATTCTCATTCCCACACAGTGTAATGCATTTGAGGTTTTGTTTCATTCTTTGTTGGCATGCCTGATTGAACTCTGAACGCGAAATCTTTTATTTTCTGCTTCATTAAAATTTTATGACTCAAAATTACATTTCAGGTACCTATGTGTTCGATGGGGCGTGGAATTGACAAATATGGTCGTTTTTGCTGGAGAATGTGGAGACACAGATTATGAAGGATTGCTTGGTGGGCTGCACAAAAGTGTAATATTGAAAGGAGTCTGTAGTAGTGCAAGTAACCAACTCCATGCCAACCGAAGCTACCCTCTCTCAGACGTCATGCCATTAGATAGCCCAAATGTTGTTCAAGCACCTGAAGAAAGCGCTGATATCAGGAGTTCCTTGGAACAATTAGGATGTCTCAAGGGCTAAAATGTTATTCTTTGTCGTTCAAAATTTGTTCAACAGCTCCTGTTGACTATGTTGCTCCCATCATAACAGTCTTTGCCTGGTTGCCTCATTGCAAGCACCTCATCAGCATTTTTGAATGCTTTAAAAAGCTTGTTTATGGGTGCCATCTCGACGCACCTCAAACCAGTTTGATCCTTTCTTTTCCCATTTGTTTATTCCCCTGTAAATTCAAACCTTTGCTGCTCCTATTACACCCTGAGTCTCAATAAAAAACATACAGTTGCATTTACCTTTGGCTTGGTCTCTTGAAGAGCCAGTGGTTGCGAATATTTTCTCAAAGTTGCTAATACATATATGTTCTCTGGGACTATTACATGAAAGTAACGCTTTCCTATTTCCTTCTTCTTTGCCCCCTTAAAGAAATGCAGTCTTAAATGGGACCATTACAGGATATTGTTTCCTGCGTTGTTTCTTGTGATGATATCTTGCTAGTTTTTCTAATTGACAGTGAAAGGATCTTTTGTTGAAGAAGGAAAAAAATTTGATGAGACTGCTGGCGTTGGAATTGTAGCTAAGAATTGGAAAGCAAGACAACTAATAATGAATATAGAAAGAGAGATTACCGTCATTTGTGTGTTACTTAATAGATTTGCTCAAATATACATCTGGATTGGAGAGGTTCCTCTGTTTTGTGAATTGGTTGGTAGATTAGCCAGTATTAATTAGTATATTTGCCAGAAGGAATCACATGTGTAGTCGAATCTGATGTGAGGCTGGAATATCTCACTATTAGTCTATTATATGGTGCAGGATATTGACAAAAATGGGTGCCTGAGCCTGCATATGGTCTTTGGAAGTTGATTGTTTCTCTAACATGGATGGACAGGCAAGCGTATCTTGAAAGATCTTCGCTTTAAGAAAGAGCAGGAAGGGCACAACTTGCCAAAAGAAGTCTTAGTCTTGAAAATAGTCAACCACAAATGGCCTGAAAAAAAGTCTTACAATTCCTGAAGTGCACTTAATTCTGATGTAAAAGAACTGCAATTTGTTCTCCCATGCAAAAACCCCTAAAATTGTGATGTTACGCATTTTAGCAGTGTTTCGATTATTTGGATAACAAGAGCAGGACTTGAGTCTAAGACATATCGGCCTGACTCTCCTTTCGGAGGAGTATCGCCGGGTTTTCGCCGGTGTTAAATATTTGAGTTCGGCCAAAGCATTGGCTTGTGCATGGACACCGGAAAACTTGAAACTTGCACTAGATAAGTAAACCCTACTCTTGCTTGCAAGGCTTCTTTATCTTAGCACTCAATCTAAGGATAGCCATGCCTACTTTTGCTACTTCCATCCCTTCGTGTTGTGTATGTTTTATGGGCACATTAAACGCAAGAAAGAGACGAAACTACAATCAATCTAACTGATAACCAACACGTCTTTCAAATCTTAATTCATTCATACAACTGGAATTCAATGAGTTAGTTGGCTCCCCCACCCCATCTTCTTCGATTCAAATCTAAGCAAGAAAGAAATTTGTCGTAAATACATCAAATTCGAATATAAATAATTTATCTAAGATAAAGTTAACCATGTTTCTTAACTTCATTTAGCAAGCAAAAATCTCTCTACATGCACTCTAAGACTTGTAGGTTACTACATCATTTTGTGTTGATTTGAGATTGCCTTGGAAAAAGAACATATAGAAAATTATTGAGTGAGATAGGAAAACTCGCAAATCAACCTGAGTGGGCTAAAGATGCATGATGAAAGTAGGGAAGGCATAACAAAGACTTGTCTAGCTTGGCAAGCCAACATTAATGCAAGAAAAAGATCGTTTTGTGGCTAAGTTTGAAGTGCCGTATGGGCAATGAATTACTATTACTGGTAGTGATTAATAAACAAATATTGGACCGGTGGTGGGCTAACTATCTCTACCGGTAAGATGGGTTGCCTAATTAATATTGTCTGTAGCTAATTCTGACAATCAAAATCATTTTTATACTGAAAAGACAAAAAAAGAAGAATGGAAAGGTGAGAAATAGTTGTTTTTCTCTGCCCAAAAGTCAGGAAATTATTAGCCACCATACCATTAGCTAAAATAACACTCAATTCCTTTCCCACACAAAAGTAACGATAGGCGAGAAATTAAAGGACAATAATACCAACTATATGATAATATCTCTTAAAAAAATATCAAGTGATTCTAGCAACTACTTAATTTTTTTTTTTTTTTGATAATGAACTAATTAATTGAATTATTAGTTTTTTTGTTATTCTGTCTTATCGAATTGTTGATGGCACCTACAGCTCGTACAAATAGAATTAAGTATCCTAACTAAGCATTTAGTGATTCTCCTTCACCAATTGATTAATTTTCTTCATTCCACATAAAACTTGTCCAACCAACCTCAGCCTAAATCCCAAACAGCTTTGCCTGTAGACAAATCCAACTAAACCATTGATAAAGGCAGAGTCAATTAAAACAATAAAGAACGGGATTTTTTGTGCCTAACTTTTGATTTTTTTTTTTTTCCTAAAGTTACATGAGGTCTAATTTAGCTGAGATATTCAACGGAACTACCATGCGATAGTAAAAATATCACGTGATAATTAATTTCAAACACGTCAATAATTCATACTTTTAAATGATTGTAGGCACTCAAAAAAATAAAAAATCAAAGGTTAAACACTGAAATAGAAAAAAATAAAGATTGGACACTAAAAATACAGTTTTCTCAAAAAATTTATTGTCTCAAGATCGCAAAATTAGTCTAAAAAATTTCATTTGGTTGCATTACCGATAAATATTTTCTATATCATGCTAGTGGCGTTTTTCACTTATCAAAGATAATTTTTAAGCACTCTATATTAGTAAAAAATTACTTTTTGAAAATTCTAAATCTTTTTAATTGTTCGGACAAATTTAATATTATGTTATTTAGTCCAAATATATATGAAGTTCAAGTAAGATTAAATCTTAAAACATAAAAGACATATAAAGTTCAATTATTATTGCCATTTGTTGAACAAACGGTTGATTAATAGAGAAATTTACAAAAACAAAAATTACTTCCTTCGTCTAAAGAAAAACTCGACCATCATATCATGAATGATATGAACTTTCCGTGGTCAATAACATGTTGAACTTTTTATAGTAGACCGAGATGAGATATAATCAACATGAATAGGTTTAGTGATCATGTTTTTTAATTTAGACATTGAAGGTGCAATACTTTTAGTAATGGTAACAATAATAACAAAGACAATAAGTAAAACGTAAAGTAAGCTAAGAAGTGAATGTATTGTTACTATAAATTATGCAATTAGCATAATTGCTAATTGCAATTACAAGAAGATGTATATGCATGTGATTGCCGATGTTCTTAAAATTTAAAATTATATGATTTTCATTATTTAAAAAGAAGTTTCAAGAGATCACACACACACATAAATAAAAGTACAAGAAATACATGAAATTTATTTATAATAAAAAAAGAAGATAGCTTAGAGTAAAAGAAGGAGAGAGATATTTGATGTGAGAAAACTAAAATAAATTTCTTAAGAAAATTGTAATTTCGGTGCCCAACCATTGATTTTTTTTTTATTATCTACCCATTAATTTTTTATTTTTATTTTTTTGTTTTAATGCCTAAGCTTTAATTTTTTCTTTTTTATTTGAATATCTATAGTTATCTGAGAGTATGAATTGCTAACATGTTTGGAGTTGAATGTCACTTAGTGTTTTTTACTTGTGATGTGACAACTTTTATTGGACATATCATCAAAATTAGATATTAGTTGACTTCAGGTCTCAAAACGAAAAAAAAAATTCAATAATTAGGTACAAAAAATGATAGTATTAAAATGTCGTTTTCTATTAAAGTAATGATCATATTAATTGAAGATAACGATAGTATTGATCGATGGTATCATTCTAAAAGCCAAGTTGGCCTAATAATTAAGAAAATATACTTTATTTATTTTTATGTTTTTTTTTTTTAATTTGCATGCCTAAGACTTCTAGTAAAAGTTGTCCGTTAAAATTTGAACCCCATGACCTTTTGTTATAAAATACCACTATCACTGGATTACAAACTCTTTAATATACTTTATTTTTTAAAATTCAAATTTTAAAACAAAAAACAATTAATAAATTCGTACGAATGTATTAAATCAACGTGAAAGATGCATGTTTAAAATCCTTCATAAATGAGACCTAATTTAAATCGATGTACAAATTGATAAAAAAAAAAAAATCTTTTACAAATATATTTCAAATAATAAATAAAGGCACTTTTCACATTATTGGGAAAAAATCTCATAAATACGCTAGTTGAAACTCCGAAAATAGATGACTTATAAACAATGTCAATGTAGAGTAGTAAAGTTTCTCTATTAATTTCTCTAAAAGTATCTATTTCCCTTAGTTCTTAAACAAAAGAAGTAGAATTCTTGCTATAAACAATGTCAATGTAGAGTGCTAGGGTTCCTTCATCGATTTCTCTAATCTTTTTCCCTTAGTTTGAGTAGAAAGATTCCAACTATATAATGATAACTCTTAAATAAACATCAACTGATTCCAGCAACTATTTTTTTTAATAACGAACTCCTTAATTAAATTATTAGTTTTTTGTTATCTTCTTATCGAATTGTTGATGACACCTACAGATCGTAAAATAGAATTAAGTGTCCTAACTAAGCATTTATTGATTCTTTTCTTAATTCCACGTAAACCTTGTCCAGCCAACATCTGGCTAAATCTCAAACAGTTAAGCCTATAGACAAATCCAACCAAACCATTGATATAGACATCATCAATTAAAACAATGACGGTATTAATTAAGATAGTGATGGTATTAATTGAAGGTTTCATTCTAAAGGTTGACCGGATCGTTAAAAAAATATATTTCAATTCTTAATTTTTTTTAATTCAAATTTTAGAATCAAGAAAAATTTTTAAATTCATATGAATATGCTAAATCAATATAAAGAATACTAGTTAAAATCATTCATAGACGAGACTTAATGTAAATCAATGCATAAATTGATCCAAAAATATATTTTACAAATATAATTCAAATAATAAATAAAGACTCTTTTCACATTATTTGAAAAAAAAATCTTATAATATCAAAAGGTTGTTGACTTGATGATAAGTTAATTAGTCTTTATGTAAATTTATTATAAATATGTAATATTCGAGTTCTAAAATTATATTTGTTGGAAGAGTTAAACTTTATCATTTTTATTCTGAATAAAAATATATAGGTAAAATTTTTTAAAAAAATTCTCCTAAGTACAGTACTAGTCAATGAAACTCCAAGAATAAATGAATTATAAACAATGTCAATGTAAAATTCCTTTGTTAATTTCTCTAATAATATCTATTTCCCTTACCTTGAGTAGGAAGATTCCAATTTATAAACATGGATCTTTCTAATATATCTTCATTTTCCTTATTTTGGGTAGAAAGACTTCTAATTTATAATATTTTTCCTTATTCCGTGGAATATCCGATATTTAAAAAGAACAAATGGAAAACGTGAGGGCAGCATGGCCATGAGCGTGAGGACGGTGAGCTCACTATTTTCTCTCCTGCGAACATTTACACACAAATTTATTGGTAACCTAACAACGTGTACTATTTATTGAGCTGCTTTGCATGCAACTCTCTCTCACCAAACTACCGAGAGAGAGAGAGAGATAGAAAGAGAACGAAAGTCTTCATAATTTAATGCAGCAGTTGGCTGGTGTATAGTTGTTCTGTGTTGTGTCCTCCAAACCCAAAAACTGAACAGAGAGAGAGAGAGAGAGAGAGAGGAAGAAAGACAAAGACAAGCCTTTCTATATTAACCAAAAATATATAGTACTGACAGGGACAATTAAGGTCAATTATTCATATTTCTATGGCTGCTTTAACAGTTGTGAAGAGGAAAGGGAAGAAAAGTATGGAGCAAACCCAGAAGAAAGAAGAGAAGATCAAGAAAGATCATGAAAGTGAAAGCAGAGCTACTAAGCGGTACGATTTAGTGTCTTTTTGGGAGCTACCAGAGTACTTGAAGGATAATGAGTTCATTTTGAGTTATTATAGAGCAGATTGGCCTCTCAAGGAAGCTCTCTTTAGCATTTTTCGTTGGCACAATGAAACTCTTAATGTTTGGACGTAAGTGATTATTATGATTAATCTCTCTTTTAATTTTGACAAGAAATTTTGCAGGAGCTTGATTATAAAGTTAATTAATTTGTTTTGATTTTTGGGGTTTAATTATTTTTTGCAGGCATCTACTTGGTTTCTTGTTGTTTGTGGGGTTGACCATGGCGAATTTAATGCATGTTCCTCAGGTTGTGGATCTACTTGGATTGTTTACCAGGTAATTTTTTTCATAAAAATCTTAACTTTTTTCCATATAAAAAAGATACTCAAATTGGCATTAATTATAAAGAAAATCCAATAATATTATGAGCTAAAGATGGGATTTGGAGAAATTTCGTAACTTCAGTTTGATTTCCTTTTCTTTGATTTTGCTCCTTTTTTTTTTTTGAAGAAATTTCTGTCAGACCTTGAAACTTGGTTGTCTGTTCTAATTAAATTCACTAAAACTATATGGAAATGAACCAAAGAGGAGAAGGGGCCAAATAAAAAAAAAAAAAAGGGGAATCTTTTTGGTGGAGGATGATCAGGTAGAAGATTATTTAGGAGAAGGGAGAAATTATGCTATAAGATAAGTTTGCGTATGGGTTTTCTTTTCAAGAAAATTACTTGTGTTAGACAATTGTCAATTTTTGATCTCAAGAAATTAAGAAATATTATACAGTCAAAGTAAAATGCAGGAAAACTTAGTGTTTCTTTTAAGTAATCTCCATGTTCTTTAATGGTGACAGTTTTACTTCTATTCTATCCCCATTTTGCAATTGAAATTGCTAAGCCATACAATCTTTGTTACAGGTCGATTCTTACTAGTGCACAAAGAAATATTTCTTATGATTCAAAGGATTTCTATTGGGTAAGTTGGTTCATATTACATAAGGAACACATCATTCCCCTAGCTACTCACATTTGTGAATTAGTTTCGAATTTACTAACACCAGAAGAACTGTTGCAGGGGACAACAAAACTGCTTGATTTCGAGCACATATCACCTATGGAAATGGATGTTTGGTCGGCAACCCGGTGGCCATTCTACGTGTTCCTATGTGGTTCTATGTTCTGCCTCCTCTCTAGCAGCGTTTGCCACCTCTTTTCTTGCCATTCACACCACTTGAACATTCTGTTGTTGCGAATGGACTACGTTGGCATCACCACGATGATCATCACCTCATTTTTTCCTCCAATCTATTATATCTTCCAATGTGAACCACATTGGCAATTTATCTACCTTGGTGGTATCTCTGTGCTGGGAATGTTCACTATAGTAACACTGCTTTCTCCATTACTATCGACCCCAAAATTTCGTGCTTTTCGAGCCTCCCTCTTCGCTTTCATGGCGCTCTTTGGCCTTGTCCCAGCAGCCCATGCTGTAGTTGTCAATTGGAGCAATCCCATGCGCGACACCATTGTAGCTTATGAGGCTGCCATGGCTATATTTTACTTGACCGGAACTGGGTTTTACGTCAGCAGGTTTCCGGAGAGATTGAGCCCCGGATTGTTCGACCTAACTGGACACAGTCATCAAATTTTTCATATTTTTGTGATATTGGGAGCACTGGCTCATTATGGTGCCACGCTTTTATTCTTGGAGTATCGTGATCATGTGGGATGTGAAGTAAACCTATAGCATGAACTATAAAGATTCATCAATTCGTCTATAATAAGGCTGGTTTGTGTTTGATTCATGTAGGTGGGAAATATCTTCGTTGTTAGAATTCTCACTTCAATTTTTTCATTCATTAATGTGGAATAGTAGTTTCTATAATGTTGTATACAAGTACCAGTGTAAGCATCATTTTAGCTGATGGGCTCACGCAGAAGGAATGTCTAAACACTATATGATTAAAAAAGAATAAAGTTTGGAGTTCATAATGTCAGGACAAATGAATCAAGATTCATGCATATGATCCAAAATTTCTGCCCTAGTTTGGACATTTGACATGTTTCATAAATTAAAGGGCAGCAAACTCAAGAAAGTTGGTGATCCAAGACTCGTATTTAGTTCCAAACTCCAGAAATTCGAAGGGATACCTTCTTGTTTATAAAATAAGGCCTTTTGGATTAAAGTGTAGTCAAGTTCCTTCCATTTTTCTACAACGTCACCTTGAAGTTAGGTACCTCCATTACTTGTGGATCAAAATAATCATGTTTTATAAGAGATAAAATAGATAGAAAAATTAAATTATTCAATCAAGGTTAACTGTGTGCATTCCCACTATCTATTGAGTCACGGTCTTAATTTTACTATCCTTTAATGCCATAGTTTTTCACATATATAAGGACCTGAAACACTTCTACAGATTTTTCTACTGCATGCTCATCTTCAATTCACAAGCCCTGATCTTTTCCTCACATTTTCTATGAATAGAAAAGGAGTAGCTTGGAGAGAGTAGAAGAAGGTTTAGCTAAGGCTCGTGAAGCCATTCAAGAAGCTATTCGTTCAAAGAACTACACATCACGGAAAAAAGAGACTTTCATTCCCAAAGGATCAATATACTGGAATTCCTATGCTTTTCATCAGTAAGTCTCTAAGGAAGCCTTGAATTTTCTTTTAAATGTTTGGCATTAAAATTTTATACTATTTCTTGGCATGTTATAGATAAAAAAGATAGATTTAATTTTAATATGTAAAAGCAGGATAGAGATACCTCTAAAGATAAAATATAAAGAAAAAAAAATTGAAAGGGAAGAAAACCCACAATCTCATTTTCTTTCTTTCTTTCTTTCTTTCTTTGTTGTTTTTTTTCGAAAAAATAAGGAACCAGTCAATTGACCATCTCTTGCCTTTTGGTATGTTAACATAGGAGCCATATACAGATGGTGAAGAGATTCAACGTGTGGCCCTACAAGGAAGGAGAGAGGCCCTTGGTCCATGACGGCCCATTAACCCATGTCTACTCCATCGAGGGCCATTTTATCAACGAGATCGAAAGCAAGAAGAGCCCATTGAGGGCCCAACATCCAGATGAGGCCCATATATTCTTCCTCCCCATCAGTATATCTTCCACTGTTCACTTCATCTACTTGCCAATCACGACAATGGCAGATTATTCTCGCGATCGTCTCCGGCGGGTCGTGACGGATTACGTTCATATCGTAGCGAATAAGTATCCTTACTGGAACAGAAGTAATGGTGCTGACCATTTTATGGTTTCATGTCATGATTGGGTGTGTATAATTTCTCTTACACCATTATGGTTTGGAGTAACTTTATTTCTATAGTACATTCTTTTGAGCTAAAACTCTTACATTTCAGGCACCAGATGTATCTATTGCCAACTCTAAGCTCTTCAAGAACTTGGTTAGAGTTCTGTGTAATGCCAATATTTCTGAAGGGTTTCGGCCCACAAGAGACGTCCCTTTACCAGAGATTCACATACCCTTCAAAGGCCTTCGTCCAGCTTATCTAGGGCAGGCTCCAAACAACCGCCCAATTCTAGCCTTCTTTGAGGGCAGGGCTCATGGGTATATCAGGGAAGTCTTATTCAAGCATTGGAAGGACAAAGATGATGAGGTTCAAGTCCATGAGAGGCTTCCCAAGGCCCAAAACTACACAAAACTAATGGGCCAAAGCAAGTTTTGCTTGTGCCCTAGTGGATATGAAGTGGCAAGCCCAAGATTGGTTGAAGCAATTTATCAAGGATGCGTGCCAGTGATAATTTCTAATGGCTATTCATTACCCTTTAGAGATGTCCTTAACTGGAGCCAATTTTCAGTACAAATACCAGTTGAGAAGATACCTGAAATTAAGATGATCTTGCAAAGAATTTCTGATAACAAGTACTTGAAAATGCATAAAAGAGTCAAGAGAGTTCAGAGGCATTTTTAGCTAAACCGACCAGCTAAGCCATTTGATGTTATTCACATGGTGCTTCACTCATTGTGGCTAAGAAGGCTTAATTTTAGGTTGTCGAAGTGATTAAATTGTTCACTTTGATCGTTTTCCAAGTCTTAGCTGTAGGGTGCCTTTTGTTTCAATTTACTTATTTCTCAAACATTTAAGATAGCTAGATTTATTGTATCAAAACTTTATATTTTTAATAATATTAGCACGTTATTTAAATATTGAAAAAAATATACAAATTAAATTTTTGTTATCCATATTAACAAACGTAATTCTTTGTGAATAAAATTATGTTAATATCTAATGTGACATGAAATTTTAATTTTTATTGTCAATATTTTTTTTAATACGTTAGATATTAATTAAATTTTGATCGAAAAAAATCATACGCGTTAATATGTTTAATAAAAATTTAGTTTGCATATTTTTTGTTCAACGTTAGAGAATTTATTAATATAATTAAAAAGTATAATTTTTTTAAAGCCTTTAGAATATGTTACATAAAGCATAAATCAAACGACGAAAGTCAAGATTCCAATTTCCAAATGCTTTCTCTATTACAAGCAAGCCCCAAATATATAGTTATACGCAATTTTTTCCCCTTTGACGAACTTTATAAATTTGTTAAGAAGTATATAAATGAAATTTGTTAATCAAACTTTATGGTCATTTTGGCTTTAGATTTTCAAAGCTGACTTGCCTAGCTAGCTTCTTAAACCTAAAATAATATTATAGGATGGAAGAGCACTTACGTGCATTTCAATTAAAGGGAAGTGGTGAGAGTTCTGTATCGAGAACTTTATGTGATCCAAGACGACTGCAAATCAGGTCATGGTTGGATCTTATCTAATAATTATTGACTTGAATGAACATCATATTCTATAAAATATTAATGTCTTGGAACCACCCAATATACCTTTGGAACTACATTTTTAAGTTACTAATTATGACAATTTTCACATACAATTCTTGTAACTATTTTTAGGACCAAGGCATGTGAGGCATATGATTAGTGGCTATGTGATGATTAAAGTCAAACCTCAAAATCACAAGAATGATGCATAAAATGTGCAAAAATGCATATCCTATTATATATCCTTCAAGAAGGACAAACTTTGGAAGAAACAGCCGATTAAGTTATTCCAATCAAGTTGGAAAAGAGGTTGTTGTATTATATTTAATTAATTTCTTGCAATTAATTATAAATTTATGATAATAAAGTATCTTTACATGCAACCAAAAATAAATAATTATAATAATAAAGTATATATAGAGTTATAGTCTTATATCCGATATAGGATGTGAATGCTTGAGTAAAAAAATAAAAAATTTATTTATATGTTTTGATGAATGAGATTATTTCTCCGATCGAGTTAGCACAACTTATTAATATACTATAAGTTATTAATTTTTCTACTTATTTAGTAATAGTGAGCATTATTTAGTCTAAACTGAAAAATAATTTAAATCTATAGAAGAGATTTTTTTGCTTTTTCTCTTTTTTTTTTCTTTTTCGGTTCGACTTTTATCAGTTTGAAAGTATTATTAGATTATAAAGTAATTCTACTTTTCTTAAAACTTTTGTGTTATGCTTTTATTTACAGTTTATCATTATATTCTTTTGGACAGAATTTTTTTTTCTACCTTTTGGGCTAAGGTTTTGTTTATATTAAATTTCATTCGATTCTTAAAATACAAAAAGTCGGCCAGACTTAGTTAGAGAACTCTACACAAACTCCATCCTAACTCTCCCCAGCTACCTTGATGTATAAGAACCCTAACTAGCAAATAGATCACCACTCGTAGAGAACAGCAACCCATGGCAATCTTTAGTTGCCCATCACCTTTCATTCTGTTCTCAACTATTTTTCTTCTCCTACTTATCTACCACTCTCCTTTATACAAAAATAATCTAACCATCATTTTCCCTCCTTTAACCCCAATATTTAACCAACACAACACCAACCACAACACCACTCAAGTTCTTTCACAACTACTCCTTCATGGCTCATCTTCACCTTCGACCAATATTTCTCTTAAAAACAGCATTATTAGTGTTGACAATGTCAAAGTGGGCAATATTTTTCCTCTATCCTCTTGTGTTTTTTTTTTTTTTTTTTAGGGTAAGAACCTGTTTGTATGGCTTGATGACTGATGATTTTTTTTGTTTCTTGTTTTTTGTTCTTTTGTTGTTGTTGTGGAAGAAGAGTAGGATAGAGAGAATTGAAGCAGGTTTAGGAAATGCGAGAGTGGCTATACAAGAAGCAATTCGTAGAAAGAACTATACAATAACTGATGAGAAGGAGGGTAGTTTCATTCCCAGAGGATCCATTTACAGAAATCCATACGCATTTCATCAGTTAAGTTTCTATTCACAACTTTTTCTTTCTTTCTATTTACTACTACAGAAATATGATGTATTGTTATTTTCTTTTTTTCTTATTGTATGAGCTTTTTATTTGAGTTTTTTTTCATAACAAAGTATTTTTAAATCTTATTTATCATAATATGATAGTTTTAAATTTATTTATCAAAACGACGTATTTTATGTCACATAGAAACCATCTTATTTATATAACTTGACATGCTATATTTTTTTTAAATCATTTTATTAAATAAATATTTTATCATCACATTTATTATTTTCTCTTTGCTTGTTATGTCATCTTCCTGCGCTAACAAAGCCAAAAGTAAATAATTCTGATCCCCTCACGATAGATCACTCCCTCTCTCCGACATACCTAGCTCGCAAAATTTGACAAAAACTTATTTCAAGGTACTGTCCAGCACATAAATTAAACCAAATCAAGCAATCATCTTCCTGCATATGCCAGACTTTCTCCACCTTAAGGGGGATTTTCTTGAATACAGAGATTGCAAGGCTTGACCTAATAAACAAAGACTCCTTCTACCGGCACCTCGCCTTCAAGGTCATTAAATGAAACATCCAAAGGTGTTAGCAACTTAAATTTTCTCAAGAAGTTGGGAATATTGCCAGTTAAGCTGGTAGAGTGCGAGTAAACTACAAGCTTTAATTGAATTCCAAGCCAAAGTAACTCGTGATCCTTCTAAAGTTTTGAGTTTATGGAATGGTATTAATCATTTTTGTCGGTGGCATGGCATCAGGTTTTGGGGTTAGGTGGCAGCTCCTAAACCTAAAAAGATGAGCTTTTTTTTATTTTTTTCTTTTAAGAAGAAATATCTTAATATTTTTATATTTTTTAATTAATGAAATATCTAAAATAAAAATAAATTTATTTAACATAATGAAATTATTTTTAAAAAATTAAAAAAATGATGTGGATAAAAAATCTTATGTGACAAAAAAAATCTTTATTTAAGAAATAAGTTTAAAAGTATCCTAGTTAAAAAATAAAGATTTAAAAGAGCATTGGTCGGGGAAAAAACTCCTTTTTATTTTCAAGTCATTATTCTATAAGCTTTTAATTGAGCTAGTGGCAATAATTATCTACATTAATACTCTACAAATTGTCATGTCAGGAGGAAAACAAAACTCTGTTGATTCTACCATGCTATCCCATCTCATAAAAAACTGCAAATTGTAATTCTCTAATTTATCTAAAATATAAAATTGGAATTTTTTGCTTTCTATTTGTCTGATTATATATAGATACATAAAAGAATTGAGAAGTTAAGTTTCATTCAAATCAATCATTTTCACTAACAGTTTTGATGTATATTACAAGTAAAATGGTCTACTAAAGAGTTTTTTTTTTTTTTTTTTTTTTTTTTTTTTTTCCTTAGAGAAGAAGCGACGGAAGGTCAATAAACCTTGTGACAGCAGACTGTGTTCCCAACTTCCCATTTTTCTTAAAAGACTAAAACATTCGTGTTCCCGATCCATCAACCCGAAAATTATGAAACATGTGTTAATAACGTGTTTCTCAGTCTATGATTTTGATTTTTAAGGATATCTAAAGTTAATTATAAATTAATCCCTTTATTTTCAAGAAATGAATTAAGTAATACTCTTTGTTTTAAAAACTAATTATTTAATCTCTATACTAGTGTTTATTATGTTTAATTTAATATTATTTTATTTAAAAAAATCTTTTTTTCTCATCAATCTTTTCATAATATGCTTTTTTTCCTTTGTCTATTTTTTAAAATAAAATAAACTAAAAAAATGGATGAAAATGATTAAATAATTCAGTAATCGTCCAAACAATCAAAATCATATAATCATTATGTTATTTTGAGGATAATCTTTTCGATAGGGACTGATTTGATATATTTTACTTATTTAGGGGTCTGGATTTGTAGAGGCATGTGGCCTTGTAAAAGCTAGCCCTATTTTTAATAGCATAATGAGTAGAATGGGCATGCCTCTATATTCCCATTACATTTTTCCACACATATCTATGTTAGCCCAACATGGTGAGTTCCAATTCATATTTGATACTCTAAATAAGTGCATAATCATTCTAGTCCCTGAAAAAAAAGAAGTATTTTACAATGGTAATTATGACCCAAAATTTCAAATTATTATGATTATTATTATTATTATTATGCGAATAAATTCAAGTTATTGATCACAAATAAGATTAACAGGGTTTTCTTTTTGCCTTGATTAGGAGTTATTCAGAGATGGTAAAGAGATTCAAGATATGGGTCTACAAAGAAGGAGAAAAGCCCATAGTCCATAGTGGGCCCATGAAACATATCTATTCCATTGAGGGCCAGTTCATTGATGAAATGGAAAATGGAAAGAGCCCATTTTTGGCCCGCAATCCTGATGAGGCCCATGCATTTTTTCTGCCGATCAGTGTGGCTTACATTGTTGAGTACATCTACTTGCCTATCACCACCTATCATCGCGAAAGACTGATAAGAATCTTCAAGGATTATGTTACAGTCATAGAAAATAAATACCCTTTTTGGAACAGAAGCAGAGGTGGTGACCATTTTATGGTTTCTTGCCATGATTGGGTAAGTACCTTGTCCGATTTCTTTTTGCGAAGCTATTTATTTAGAATTGAAGTTCTAATGTCCTTTTTGGAGATATCCCATGTAATTGTGGCTACTTGTTCGGAATATTAATGCAATTTCCTGGTGATTTCAGGCACCACAAGTCTCGAGAGATGACCCAGAACTATACAAGAATCTGATAAGAGTAATGTGTAACGCCAACGTTTCTGAAGGATTCCAGCCTAGAAGAGATGTTACATTGCCGGAGCTGAACTGCCCCCCATCAAAACTCCGTCCAATCTGCCATGGCTTAGCCCCTAAAGAACGAGAGATCTTTGCATTTTTTGCAGGTAGGGCACACGGAGACATACGCAAAATCTTGCTTAAGCAATGGAAGGAAAAAGATGATGAGATTCAAGTTCATGAATACTTAGCGAAGGATCAAGATTACATGAAATTGATGGGACAAAGCAAGTTTTGTCTGTGCCCTAGTGGTTTTGAAGTAGCTAGTCCTAGAGTGGTGGAGTCAATTTATTCAGGATGTGTCCCCGTTATTATTTGTGACCATTATAATTTACCTTTCAGTGATGTTCTTGACTGGAGCAAATTCTCGGTACAAATTCCAGTGGAGAAAATTCCTGAAATTAAGACAATTTTGAAAGGTATTTCAGATGGTGAGTACCTGAAAATGCAGAAGAGGGTGAGGAGAGTGCAAAGGCATTTTGTCCTAAACCGACCAGCCAAGCCATTTGATGTAATTCATATGGTGCTTCACTCAGTTTGGCTTAGGAGGCTTAACATTAGGGTGCCTTATTGATTTTAATCACTGTAATTGTGCCATTGTTAATGATCATTACACACATCAGAGCAAGGATTAATTCGAATAGAAGGATACACGTTTTTGCTTTTATAAGTTCAATCTTATCAATTTGCAAATCATTTTTTTTTTTTTTAGGATTTTTCATCTTGTATTGATGATAATATTGATATTGTTGAGAGTGAAAACGATAAATTTTTTGTTTTTTTCAACAAGTTCAATGCTAAAATTAGAATTGTACATATTAACAGAAAATTTGTTTGAAAACCAGCTTACTAACTATTTTTTATACATATGTCGGTCAAATTTAATTAATAAATAAATATTCAGATTTTTAGTGAATGTACGAGTTTGATATGAATGCATAGCTATTTAAAATCTAACGAAAAAAGGAATTTAATTTTGATGTAGCAAATTTGACATGAAGATATACATCAAAATATTGAAAACTGATGAGAGGTGGTGACAAGAGATAAATGTTTTTCATTACATATATGATGAATGGAAGGCTATAATTTATAGATTAAAAACGAAGGGTTGGGATGAGAGGGGAAAAGACGTTAACGAAAAATATCAAGAAAGCATAAAGAAAGAAAATTAAGACAAAGGTGAAAATGTAATAGTCCAAAACCGCACAATGGCATGAGAGAAATTAATAGCAAAACAAAAGGGCGAGAAACAAATCACTTGCAATAGCCAAGCACGTCCGAAAGTGTTTTTTTTTTTTTTTTTTGGCCCCTCAACAAGCTTTGTTCCAATAACCCAACAACCCATGCAAATCAAACGATGGTCAGTCAAAGGATGTGGAGGACAACAACAACGGGAGTCTAAATCACTAGTCTTAGGGAACAATAGATGAATCTATGTCTTTTAATTATTCTTGTAATGGCTGAATTCATAGTTAAATTATTGAAAGGACTTAAACTAAGTTATTAGTAAAATTCACATAAATTTCACAATCAAAGGAAAATACAAATAATCTACTTTCTTTGTCCCAAATATATGACGTCTTTCTATTTATATATGTCTTGAAATTTTTGTTTTGTAAAAATTTTAAATTGTGTAGTTTGTTGAAATATTCTAATTAAAATCTAATTTGATGACTAATCATTCTAATATATATATTTAAAAAAAATAGACAAACAATGCTGATATAACATAACAATTTATGATTTCTCAATGTGTTTGAAAAATAAAAAAAAAGATAATTTTTTTTTTAGAATTGAGGAAGTATTAAATTCATCTTTATAGAGCATAAAAAATCAAATGGCTAGATAAATTATCATACGATATTACTTTTTGCAAAATAGAAAAGAGCCTGAATGCTTGATGCTTTTTTCCCCTTATAAATCCAAGTACTTTTCCCAAATAAAAGAGCAATTTGTACTACAAATATAATTATATTATGTTTTAGGAAAAAAAAAAGAGCATAATATGTGCAAGCCAATAAGTAATTTCTTTCAAATTAAAGATCGCAATTGATAACGAATTTTAACAAAAAATTAAAAAGGAGCTCGATGGTTAGAAGTGAGCACTATTAAAAAAAACCCCGAATTATTCGAACCAATTCTAGTAGCAACAAATTTTTTAAAATACCGAGGAACGGATAATTATCTGAAATGTTTTTAAGGAATTACTGATCCATACTGTCTTTATACTATAAATAATTACTTAATTAGGTCTTTGTTTATATTTACGTGTTAATCATATCCATATAATGAATAAATTTGTTTAAACCGAATCCTCTATTAGTTATTTCACTTGTAACATTAGATAATTATATAATCAAGTGACGTGCATACTTTGACATCGTTGATCTCGCTAGTTATTTTTTATTTATCATAGAAAATATTTATTAAAACTATAAAAAAATTTAAATTGATGACATGTAGTTCAAAAGTGTTGGGATAATTTTTCTTTTCAATTTTTTTTTAATATTTTCAATAAATACTTCTATAATTAAAAAGAATGAAAGAAAAAATAACTTACAAGGCCAACGAGGTCAAATAACAAGTGTTGTTTGAAGATGCAATTTACTTAATGTCGTCATCGAGATCACTAATACAGGATTCACATTAAATAAATTAATTTAATCTAGGAACTCAATTAATATTTAAATTAATACAAAGACCTAATTAATCAATTACTTGTGGTTTAAAGATGATATGGATTGTTAACTCGATTTTTAGGTAATTCACACGAGTAATACTACACAAAATGCGAATTATATTTTTTATTTATAGAATTTTTAAAAACTAATGGATTTGTAATTTTCCTTGAACCTTATTTTGGATACATTTTCAAATAATCCTTAGGCCAAATCTTGGCTAGTTATTAGTAAATTTTTTTAGTATTTTGGGTAAAATAAAGAAATTTTATAATAGATAAGGAGTAAATAGTAACATGTATAATAATTACTCCATGCATCAATTTTAAAAAGAGAGATAGACACATTGAATTATATCCGGATCCACAAAAAGCGATAAGAAGATTTTCCCGGTTCCTTTATTTTTTTTAAATTCTCTCATGTGTTACTCTTTTTTTTTTTTTTTATGTTTATTTCTCTACTCAACGTAGGTGCATGAAATAACCACTTTTTTTTTATGTTTATTTCTCTCATCAATGTAGGTGTATGAAATAACCACTGTATACGTCACTAGTACTTTTTACGTATTATAAAATTTATTATAAAATAATGAGATTTCTTGTAAAATAATGAGATGCTGGATAAAAAATTTCGGTTGCTAGAATTACTTGATCCGGTAAAAGGAAAAACAATTGAGGAAATTATTTTTTAAGTAATTCAGATAATTATCCAAAATGACAAATTTTCATCCGAATTACCTTAATGATCATCAGTAAATTTCTTTCTCTAAAGCGAACAGTTCGTGTATTTGAGAAATTATGAGATACATAAAATTGGTGTTTTGTTCATATATTGTAATTGTATTTTTTGAATTATTTTAATTAGAAATAATTATATTTTTATGTATCAAAATGTAAACCTTTTCAAATCAAGTGTGTGTTTTTTAATATCTTTTATTTAAATTTTAAGAAAACAAGTTAACACTTTTTTTTATAAAGCATTTCCGTTAACTCTATGTCAATTTTTCTATTATCTGCACACTTGTACCGTCTAACCGTCAAGTCGGACCTGCATTGACACGTGGCAATGACGTGTTCGTAACGTGAAAAATTAAAAAGAAAAAAAAGACTGAAAGAATTTCAAGTCCTCCAGACCCACCGCCAGCTCGACCACCTCCTTCAAATCCTCCTCTACTACTAAACCCATCACTAGCACCAGCACCAGCACCAGCACCAGCACCACCTCCAAACCCACCACCCTCACCTCCTCCCAATCCACCATCTCCACCACCAAACTCACCACCTCCTCCACGGCACCAACTCCACCACATCTAAATCCTCCTTCGTAAGTAGCACCAACACCACCCCTAGACCCACAACCGAAATTGCCACCAGCACAACCACCTATTTCTCCACCTCCAAATCCGCCACCTCTCACCAACACCTCCTACCAATCCACATCCAGCTCCACCACCAGCACCCCTACTAAATCTAGCTCCAACTCCACCACCAAACCCGATCCTCGTTCCCAGCACCAACTCCACCGCCTCGTCCAAATACTCCACCACAACTAGCACCAGTACCACGTCCAAACTCATAATCGAAATTGCCAACACCAAAACCACCTATTTCTCTACCTCTACCACTTCCAAATCCATCACCCTCACCAACACCTCTTCGCAATCCACATCCAGCTCCAACACCAGGACCCCCCACCAAATCCAGCATCAATTCTCCACCAAACCCACCACCCCGTCCCAATCCTCCTCTACGACTAGCTCCAGCACGACCTCCAAACAGCACAACCACCTATTTCTCCACGTCCACTACCTTTAAATGAAGAAGATATATCGGGTTTTGAGAAGAATAAGGAATGAGAGAAGAAGAGAAAAAATGATATGTTTTAATTCTCCTTTTTCCTTTCAATTTTTTTTTTTTTTTGATAATGGAGGCTGAGTCAATTTCTTAACAAGGTCAAAGCCAGGCGAGGGAGAGAAGGGAAGATGAAGGTGAGAGAAAATAGAGGTTGTTGGGTTTGGGATTTGGAGAAGAAGGAGATAGAGAGGAGAGAGCGAAGGTAATAGGTAAAGCAGAGGAGAATAAGATGGTGCTTTATTTATTAATTTTGTTTTTAATTTTCCAAGTCCTTGACCCATGACAGACACATGTCTCACACGTGGCTGACATGTCATTGCCATATGTCGACATGGGTTTGACTAGACGGTCCATCCGTCCATGTGTACATATAACCAAAAAAATTAACACAAAATTAATGAAAATATTTGATTTGAGAAAAAATTATAACTTGGTTTACTTAAATAATAAAGATTAAAAGCATATGCTTGATAAAAAAAAAAATTGACAATTTGGTACATTAAAAATATAATTAAATTTTTTGATTGAGATCCTGTATTTTTTTTTTCAACCCGATTGAGTGCCTCAATTCTTCATTTTTTTTTATTGCCTTTTCTTTATAAAATTGTTAGTTTATGAGCTAACATGGCACATTCGTTCCTAAATGCAACATTTATCATACGTAGGACTCTAACACAGAAACCCAATTAAAAAAAAATTAAAAAATATAAGATTTTAATAAAAAAAAATTCAAAAAGTACAAGGATCAAATCATTTATTTTTTATTTTGTATTTTCACGTTATTATTTTCTTATGACTCAATCTTAAATATCGTAAAACATGTTACATGTAGGATCTGAACACAATAAAACTACAAAGAGTATCTTTTTTTAAAAAATTATTATAATAATTTTAAAAGAATAAAATACATATAAAACAAACCTAACATATAATAAATGTATAAGTATATATAATACAAATATTTTCATCAAAATTCAAATAAAAACAATATATATATTATAGTGCAATCACTAGTGCTTTTTTGAGAAAGCAACTCTATTTTTTAATTTGATTTTATAAATATTTAGAAATTCTTATTTTTTTTTATGATAGATTAGACCCATTAACTAAGAATATATAGGTGATAATGTTGTACACATCATATTTTTATTTTAATAATTGCATGTTAAATTTGTTTTTATCTTTAAGTCATATTATAAAAACTAATGTAATGAAGCATTACTTATAAACTAAAACGCGTGGTGGTTTTACCGTTCGAATGAACAATAACCACCATGCGGTACTGTTCACTTGAACAGTTTTTTTTTCCCCTTTAACTATACTACTCAACCTTAGTTTTTCTTTCCTTTCTTTTTTAATTTTCAACCTTAGTTTTTTCCTTAGGTTATTTTTTTAAAATTTCAAATTATTTCGTTTTGATCTCTAAAATTTTAAAATAAAAATTTTAATCTCTAGCCGATGCAATATATGTCTTTTTTTTTTCTCATCAATTTATGTTCTTTTTTTATTTGATTTAGTGTTAAAATTTTAAAAATCGATCGTTATTTTTTTCCACACTTGGTCGATGATTTACTTTACCTTCACACTATACTACTCAATCTTAGTTTTTTTTTCCTTTTTTAAAAAATTTTCACTATTACTTTTTTCTTTTTCTTTTTTTTTTAATTTTTACTCTTATTGTTTAAAATTTATTTCTTCAATTATTTGTTTCTTATTAAAATTCTAATAAAATTAATTATTTAATATAGTTTTATTTGTTACTAAATTTAGTTTTCTAATATATGAATTTTAGAATAAAATTTTAGAACGCCGATATTTTTTTAAATATATTATTATAATTTATATAATAATTTATTTTTATGCTTTTTAAATGAGTGTTTTATTTTTTTAAATATATTATTATAATTTATAAATTCTGATTATATATATATATATATATATATATATATATAGAGAGAGAGAGAGAGAGAGAGAGAGAGAGAGAGAGAGAGAGAGAGAGAGAGAGAGAGAGAGCTGAGAGTATATTTTAAATAGTTTAACTTAATATTTTTTAAAAAATTAATAATCGATTAAAAAAAGTCATAAGTTTTATTTGTTATTTTATATATATTTATTCAAAATTTATTACAATCAATTTTATTTTAATTTTTTATTTTAATATATTGACTTAAATATATTTCATACAATTCAACGAGCTCGATCTCTTTTTTTCCCGCATATATATATATTATTGTGAAATTAAGTGCGAAAAATATAGAAAATACATCTTTATTTTTTTTATTTTTACGTACGGTTTGAAGATGATAGAATATATATGATATTTTTTAAGATTTTAGTTTGAACATATATATCTAATTATATTACTCTTATTGTTTAAAATTTATTTCTTCAATTATTTGTTTCTTATTAAAATTCTCATCAAATTAAGTTTTTGTTATAATTTTATTTGTTAATAAAATTTTTAATATATAAATTTTGGAATAAAATTTTAAAACGTTTGTGTTTTATATTTTAAAAATATATTATTATAATTTATAAATTCTAATTATATATATATATATATATATATATATATATATATATATATATATATATATATATATATATATATATATATATATATATATATAGAGAGAGAGAGAGAGAGAGAGAGAGAGAGAGAGAGAGAGAGATAAAAGTATGTTTTAGATAGTTTGGCTCGATTTTTTTTAAAAAATTCACATGTTTTATTTATTTTTATATATATATGTATTCAGAATTTATCATAATCAATTTTTTTATATTTGTTTTAGTCTATTAACTTTAATATATTGTTATAGTTTTATATACTACGAATACGGTAAGTATGACACACACACACACACACACACACACACACACACACACACACACACACACACACACTATATATATATATATATATATATATTAGAAATTAATTATAAATCTGCACACATAATACTAATTCTTTATTATTTATTTTTTATATTCTAAAATTTATTTTTAAAATAAAATAAGTTACATAATGTTTTAAAGGAACTTTTCAATTATTCAAATACAAATTTTTATGCTAATATTATTAAATAATTTGTTGATAACTATATATATAGATCAAGCGATTTTGCTTAATATATAAATTCAATTTACATTAATTATTGAAAATAAAACTTTTACTCGTAATATATCATACGAATCATTAATACTATGTGTATAAAGAGTGCCGACCATAGCGTAGCGCGGGTACCGATTTAGTGATATCTATAATTCCTCCTCCTCTTGTTTTCACTCTCCTATAAGTATGGTGGTACCACTCGTTTTAGCAAATTTTACTTTCCTTTTCTTATGCAAATTCCCTAACTAGGCAACAACAATGAAAAAGCTTTTTACATTATTATTATTATTATTATTATTATGTTATAGCTCATTCTTCTAATCTACCATCATTATTATCATTTTTATTATATCACCATTACTATCTTTTTTTTAATATCATCTTTTACGATGATGATGTTAATTTTATAAAAATATATTATTTATATTACTATAACATTATTATAGCCAGCACTGCCCCATCCTCCTCCATTATCATTATTATCATAATCATTTTTATCATTTTACTATCATCATAGTTGATAAAATTATTTTTAATAATTATTCTTGTTCATCTTAAAAATTAGATATTAAAATTTTAAATTTCATTATAACTTTTTATTACAATTCCAAACATAGTATTGGAATGAAAATAATATTTTATTTTCTTAATTTTTATTTCGATTCTTATATCTCATTTCAAACCTTTCTTTTTTTATTTTTTTATTACTATTTCTAAATATTATTTTTTTTATTTTTTTGTGTGAATCACACTAAAAAAGATATATGTTGTTTTTAATGTTATATTGGAATTAGAATTTTCTCCAATTAATATTTCCTTGCCGTGATTGACCCCCAATCAATATGGAAAGTCAACTTTCTAATTTCCAACCCTGTCACAACGTAGAATCCTGAATATTATAACACAAAGATTTGTTTTCCTTTAAAACTAAAATATATGACAATCTAAAGGGAAGTTGTTTTATTTTTAAAACAAAAGAGGTAAATAAAATCAACGCAATTTATTGTGAGATTTTTTTCGTAACATAATTTTTTTTCCTTATAATCGCAACAGCCAGGCCCAATGATCTAATAATAAATAGTCACAAACTGTCACACCAGCTTTACTTCCTCCGTAACTTCCATGTATTCTCATAAATTCTTCTTTGGTTAAAACTTCTTCAGAAACCACGATTCTCATCCCTCTCTGTGTGTTTATGTTAGAAGAAGAAGAAGAAGAAAAAACCTAAGAATTCTTGAAAAAGAAGCCAGTCATGGCAGCGTCTAGCGGCTCTAACATGGGGTTTATGTTATTGCCTGTTCTTGTTTTCACTTTCCTTATTGTCTACTTATCTCCCTCTAACCAGAATATCAATATTGTTGGATTTTTTTCTTCTTTTTCTAAACCAAATAATATCTATGCTAAAACCAACCTCGTTTCTGAAAGCTCGCAACCCTCTCCATCGCCAATTCTATTGCCATCGCAGGTCAGTCCGGAGATAGAAATTCTCAGGCACAACAACAAAGTCATCCTATTTGGTGATTTTTTTTTTAAAGATTTTCTTGACTTGTTTTTGTTCACTAGTAAACTTCTTTATCAAAAGGATTAAATTCTAAGTACAACACCGTTAAAAGCGAGCTAATTAGTGAAGATTTTTGTATCAAATGTTTTTTTTATTTCTTTTTTTTGTCTTGATTGATGAACAAGCTTTTTATTTCTTTTACTGGACAGAAAAAAAGAGGTATACAGAAAATTGAAGATGGTTTAGCTAGGGCAAGAGCAGCAATTCGTGAAGCGGTACGGTTGCAAAGCTATACATCATACAAGGAAGGGACTTACATTCCCAAAGGAGTCATATACAGAAATCCTTACGCTTTTCATCAGTTAAGTTTTGATATAATTTTTTTTAATCGTCAAAACCCTTTTTTTTCTACACCACAATAAATCTCTCTCGTAAATTTCTTGCATTGTTTTTTTTAAGTTCCAAAATTGTCATATGTGTAGGGTTGGATTCAACATGAGTAATGCGATATATGCATAGAACAAAATTTATATGATAAATTTCATTGAGAGGTATAAAATTAACCTTGAGATGAAAAGGGTTAATCTGTGGCCATTACTTTGTGTGGCGATATTAATGTAGATGGGAGTAATTAAATATATTTCCGTTAAAATATAGGGCGGTGTATCCAGTAGCGCCGGTGCTCACTTTTATTGCCTTACTTATTACTCCAAATTCGGAAAATTTTCCTGTGGATTTAACGCTATGATTCCGTAACTTTATCAATATCTTTTAATACATAGTTTTAAAATTAATGTAGTATGAATCATATCCTACCTTGGATGGTAAGTTTTGTGGGACTAGGTGCAGAAGAATGTAATGGAATAATTACAATATAAATATATCAATTTTTACTTTTTTAAATTGAGTATATGAATTTTTTTAATTTTTTTTTTGTTAATTAATGATGTGTCTCGGTACCTTCAAATTATTAAATTATAATTTTACTATTAATGGGTTAATGCCCTCATCTTTTTCTATAAAAAAGCTTCTAATATGTTCTTATATTTTGAGTTGATTTTTAATATATCATTTTAGTTAAAATTTTTGAATAAATTAAGCTAAATTAAGTATGTGATTTGATAAAATTGTTTTTATTATTTGTTACAAGTGATCTATATCTAATAATATGAATATTAATTTCTAAAAATTGGCCAAAAATTTTGAGAAGAAAGATAGATTAGAAACAAACTTAAAATAAAAAGACAAATTGGGGGTTTTTTTTTTAAAAAAAAAACTGATTGAAAATTTGTCTTATTATATAAAAACATGTGAGGGTATTAACTTATTATTATTACTACTACTACAATCACCTCTATCATTTTTAATATTATAATAATTGATGAAATTATTTTTTTAATGATTATTTGCAGGATATATGTATATATATTCAAAGTGTCTCATACATTTTTAAGTTTTTAATTGCATCCCATTTGTTTCTAAGAATATTTCAAATATTCAATTTGTTTTTTGATCAATTTTCCTGGCTATATAATTTATTTTTTAAATGAAGTGCCTTTGATTGAAATGCAAAAATAAAATCAAACATGCACATCATGTGACTTTAAGTGTTTTTTTTTTTTTAATAAAGGACATTTCGATTAAAAAAATTATTGTCAAAAAATTTGATTAGAAAAATAAATTGAACATTTCAAAATTTTTCAAGGACATATGGAAGACTTTGAAAATTATATAAGGACATAATAATATATTTATCCTTATTTTTATTTGTATTAAAAATTAGAAAATAAAAATTTTGAATTTTGTTCTTAATTCTTGTATTTTCATTTTGGATATTTGATTCCTCATATTCGAACAATACCTAAGAGAATAAAACATGTGAGAAACATATTACTGCTACACTGATTTCTTTGACAAACATATATTTATACCACCAATTAAAATGTTAATTCAGGAGTCATACAGAGATGGAGAAAAGATTCAAGATATGGGTTTACAGGGAAGGAGAGCTACCTCTGGTCCATGGTGGACCCGTAAACAACATCTACGGCATTGAAGGTCAGTTTCTTGATGAGATGGAGGGTGGGAAGAGCCACTTTGCTGCTAGTCACCCAGATGAGGCACACACATTCCTACTCCCCATCAGTGTCGCCTATATTATCCATTATATCTACAGGCCCCTTGTCACATACTCTCGTGATGAACTGCAACGTTTGGTCCAAGATTATGTTGGTATTGTAGCCCATAAGTACCCTTACTGGAATAGAAGCAAAGGAGCTGATCATTTCTTGGTTTCTTGCCATGACTGGGTATCAGAAATTTTCTTTATTTTTTGTTCTACTATCACATCATTCTAAGAATGTTGTAAACTAAGTGATTTTTCTTTTGAAATTTCAGGCCCCAGACATGTCGTAAACTAAGTGATTTTTCTTTTGAAATTTCAGGCCCCAGACATTTCAGGAGCAAATCCTGATCTATACAAGAACTTTATCAGAGTCCTTTGCAATGCCAATACATCAGAAAGATTCGAGCCTCGAAGAGATGTTTCAATACCTGAAATCAACATCCCTGTTGGCAAGCTTGGACCGCCCGACAAAGGTCTACCCCCAAGTAAGCGTTCGATTTTCGCTTTCTTCGCTGGAGGAGCTCATGGTTACATCAGGAAGGTCTTATTGGAACATTGGAAAGATAAAGATGATGAGATTCAAGTCCACGAGTATCTTGATAAAAAGAAAAATTACTTCAAATTAATGGGCCAGAGCAAGTTTTGCCTGTGCCCTAGTGGGTATGAAGTAGCAAGTCCTAGAGTGGTGACAGCAATTCAATTAGGGTGTGTACCTGTGACTATTTCTGATAACTATACATTGCCATTTAGTGATGTTCTTGATTGGAGCAAGTTTTCAGTACACGTTTCGTCCCAGAAGATACCTGATATTAAAACAATTTTGAAAAAGATAACGTTCAAAAGGTATCTCTTATTGCAAAGGAGAGTGATCCAAGTCCAAAGACATTTCGAGTTGAACAGACCGGCTCAGCCATATGATATGCTTCATATGCTACTTCATTCTGTGTGGTTAAGGAGGCTTAATATCAGGGTTCCATATCAATCATAACCTGATATTCTAAAGATCCGAACCCTTTTGTACATCACTGTTGAGATTTTTGCTTCTGATCATCTGTATATCATGAACTTTAGAATTGAAGGCTATATCTATATATCTTCAACCACCCAAGGCATGATTTTCTTTCTTGTTTTTTGTATTAAATGAAGACAAGTATTTTGATTTTTCTATAACGTCATAAGTGAAAATGAAAGCGAAAAATTTCGACATTTTCATTTCTTATAAAATTTTCAGAAAGTTCATTGGCTAATACTGTATTGTAATATAGACGATGAGTTAATGCCCTTTCCCTACCTATCCCGTCTTTTCCTCCCATTTCTTTTCTTCTCTTTCCATTCCATTCTCTCCGAGGGACCACGTCATTTAATTTTTTTGTTTGTAATTAATACCCAGGAAAATGGAAAGTAGCAATAGAGAAGAAAGTTGAAAAAGAAAACAAAAATACTATGTACTCTTTTCCCACTCAACGACAACCACCTGTCTCAGGACCAATGGAACAAAAATGTACCTGTCGATTTGTCGATTTATACAAAAAAAATTTATAATACATAAGGAGTAATTAATGGCGTATACGGTAGTTATTCTTTATATTCGACTTTGAGGAGAGAGAAAGACACATAAAAAAAAGATTGAAATTACATCTATACCCATCAAAAGTGATAAGAAGATTTACACGTCTGCTCAAATTTTTTTATTTTCTCTCTCCTATTTTTCTCTCTCTCTCTTTGTGTGTCTATCTCTCTCCTCAAAGTGGGCTCGAGGATAACTATCGTACATATCACTAGTTACTCCTTGTGTATTATAAAATTTCTCTATTTATACTGCAATTACTCAAAATTGGCATTTATTATCCAAGTAAAAGTGATGTGAAAATTGAGTTTGAATCATTTTTGGTAAAATTCATTTTTACATCTATAGATTTATCGATGTTCCACTTATATTCTTATAGCTTAGAAATTTGCAAGGCTACTTTTTTAGTTTTATGAAAGTTACAATATAACTCCTTGAATTTAAAAAAAATGTCAACTTTTTCTTATTTTCTCTCATTTTATCCTCTCAAATTTTGTACACACGAACACCTTATAAAAATACTTAAACCTAAAAATCTATAAAATAAAAAAAATCCATAAAGTGGGACTCTTTGTTTCACTAGTTAATTGATGATCAAGGGTAAAAATGAAATGTTTTGAAAATTTTCAAGGGAAATATTAAAAATTTAAAACCATATGGAACATTAGGGGTAAAAATACACTTTACCCATCGCTTTTTATGAAGCAAATGAGTTCATTTTAAATAATTGCTCAATCAATCATTTTCCATTGCTAGCTCATATGTAAAGGATATCCTCTAATTTTATCAAAAAAATCATTTCATTTTAAAAATTCTTAAACTATTAGGTGATACTCTAATATATAATTTATGTTACTCTCTAACACAGTCTTTACTATCTTGTATTTAATTATTTATTTTTTTAATAAGAGAGAATATAGTGGTAAAATTTAAACTCGTGATCTGTTTGGTCATCAAATCTCCGATACTATGTCAAAAAATCATCTCAATCTTTAAACTATTGGATGAGGTTTCGGGAATGATTTTATATTATTTCTAACATATTTTCTTAAATAAAAATCTTTTGAACTTGAAACTCTAACACACCCTCTTAAGTGAAGCTCTTTAGGCTTGAATTTTGTAAATATGCACCACTAGTTTGCATTTAATTATTTAATTTTTAATAAGAGAGAATGAAATGGTGAGATTTAAACTCGTGATCTTTCTTGTAGACTTGAAACTCGAACACATCTCCTCGATTAAAAGTTCTTTGGGTTTGAAACTTGCACATGTCCACCACAACCTTGTACTTAATTATTTAATCTTTAATAAGAGAGAATAAAGATGATGAAATTTGAACTCATGACTATTTAGATTATTTAATTTTTAATAAGACAAAATAAAGATGGTGAGATTTGAACTCATGACCGTTTAGTCATAAAAAATCAAATATCATATCAAAAAATCATATCTCAACTCAAAAACTTATGCTATTAGGTGAGGCCATAGGAATGATATCTAACACACAATCTCAAGTAAAAACCCTTCGAAATTAAAATTTGTACAGTGCCTATCACTATCTTATGATTAATTATTTTATTTTTAATTGGACTAAAAGGAGGATGTGATAAGACTGGAACTCATGATAGTTTGTACCACTATCTTGTGCTTAATTATTTTATTTTTAATTAGAAGAGAAAGTGGACATTATGAGTTTCAAATTTGTAATTGTTTGATCATCAAAATTCTAATACTATGTTAAAAAACGTTCTTAACTAAAAAATTTAAATTATTAAATAAGATTTCAAGAATGATTTTATATTCTCTCTAACTCATTTCAAACATAAATTGTCACTTACTCGCTAGTTGTGTCTTCTAAATGTAATGCTAATGTTTAATCCTTTTTAGGTTAACATATATATGAAGTAACCATGCATGCTTCTCCTTTCGTGTCTAATCCGGAAGAAATAGAAGTAGTGAAAGAAATATACTCTATTATGGCAACGTTTAGTAGCTCCTCCATAATTTTTCTACTATTATCTATTAGAAATTAAACTTGATTTGTCTTAAATTCAAGGCCTAAATCCGAGTCAAAGTCCATAGCCCAAAGCCCAAGTTTAGAAAAATCTTCTCTATATTTTTTTAAGACATCTAGCAAATCTAGAAAAATCTTCTCTAGATTTTTCTCAAGACATTTAGCATAGCCAAAATTTAAGAATTATCTTGAAGTTTTTCCGAGTCTTCTAGGTATATTTATGATATGCTTATCTAGAATCATCCTTAGACTAGGATAAATATGGTCCTTTGGCCATAAGTTTGTGTGTGCATAAAAAAGAAGAAACAAAATTGAGTTGTAGAGAAAGTGAGTAAAAGTGTGAGGGCTTATTGTGTGAGTGATTAGTGTGGACAACAAGTCAGCACTTGCCTTAGCAAAGAATCTTGTCTTTTATGAAAAGAGCAAGCATATAAATACTCGATATCATTTCATCATAGAAAGTATCGTAAAAAAAGATCCAATTGAAGTTTGTAAAATCTCAAGATCAAATAGGCGATATTCTCACCAAACCATTAAAGAAGGATGTGTTTTACAAGTTGTGAGTTTCACTAGGAGTTACCAAATCGAGTTTAAGAGAGGATGATAGAAATTAAACTTGATTTGGCTCAAATTCAACGCCTAATTGCAAGTCGGTAGCTTAAGTGTAACCCCCGTAAAAACCCTTATCCGTAACGCAACATGTATTAGTATAATTCTATATATATGTATATTAAGAGTAAGTATAATTCTCATTTTATCATGAGAAATTAATGCTTGAAATATGTGATTTATATTAAATTAAAGTTCTTGTACTTAAGATTAATGGTTTAATTATTAAAGAAATCAAATATGCAATATCGGTGTTTTAAGGACTATATCCCGCTCGAGTTTTGTGTGAATTATTTGAGGACTTTAGAGTAATTTTTGGGTCAACCTTAAAGAATGAAAGTTGTTCATATATGTGTTTAATAGGCCTGTATAAATTTTATAATATTTGGACCTATACATTAAGAGTTATACCAATTATAGTGAGGGTTGTTTCGAAATGCATTCTCGCTGAAATTTTGGGAGAAGAATCTGCCCGAATCTTGTGAGATTTATTTGATGCTGTTAGATTGATTTTTGAGAAACATGTAAAGAATAAAAGTTGTTTTTCTATGTGTGTACTAGCTCTATATAAAATTTCATAAATTTTGGATACATATAGAAAGAGTTATGCACATTTTAGTATAGATGGGTTAGGAGGTAACACTCGCTGAAATTTTGAAGAAAAAGAAATTCCAAATTTTAAAAATGGAAATTTCCGAATTTTTTATGAAAGAAATTTTTTCTAATTACATTAACCCAGCTTATTAATGTTTTTATTTATCCTAAGTTTTCTTTAGCCACCTAAGCACTTGAATTAAATGCTTAGAAGCCAAATCATCACCTTTGACTTCCAAAACATGCCGACTTTGCCTTCCAAGCTTCCTTCACTTTACATTTGGCCTAGTTAAATTGTAACACTTATGATATAAATAAATGAGAGGATAAAAGGTAGGTACATAAGGGAAAGAGAGGGTTCAATGGCTGCCATTTTTAGGCCAACAACCGTAGCCATCCAGAATTAAAAAGAGAGGCCAAATTGAAAAGAGAAAAACAGCAAAAAGAGAGAAAGAAAGAAAAGAGAAAGAAAAGGGAAAAATGAAAGAAAAAGAGCTAAAGAAATTCTAATCAAACCTAAAATAGGTAAGTAGGTTTCATTTCTTGGCTGATTAATGTCTTAAATTATTTTTTTTAAGTTATTTTGTTAGTGTTTATTTCATGGGTTATAATAATCTTCAATGGTTATATGCTTGATGCTTGGGATAAATCTATGTATGGATGCCTTGTTGTGATGATTTATGATGTTATGATTTTTTGAAAAATGTCCAAGTATATGGTGATGGGTTGGATTGAACTTGGACTAAATTTAAGTGAACTAAGACATGTTTAAAGTTGGCTTGGAATGAACTAATAAATTAGTGTTGATAAGGAGTAAATTCTGTCCTAATTTTGGGGTGTATTTTCAAGGATTTTAGATCGATTTCTAGGTGAAACTTAAAGCATAAAAGTTGTTCCTCTATGTTTCAAATAACTGCCTTTAAAATTTCTTGGTCATTGGATTCGTGTACAAAGATTTATGCCTGATTTAGTACAGATAGCTCTAGACAAACTACTACTAGGCAGATTGCTCCCTAAGTTTCAAAATTTGTAATTAATTGTGTACTTGGTATTTAGACCTAATTTTTGAATATGTTATAAATAAATATGTCTAGTATCTAAAATAAAATGGGTAAGTTTTAATTATGTTCTGAAATTGAAAAATTATTTACTCGATTAGCGAGTTGCTTGGTAATAAACCCTAAAACCAAAGAATTAGACTTGG